ATCAACGCAAGGTCTGTTTCCAACAAGACATTTATCCTCAATGACTTTTTTAAAGATCAGGAGTTGGATTTTCTGTTCGTCACGGAATCTTGGATTTCTGATGGTGGAACTACTACCCCCGGACTGTCTGTGTTTCAATGCCCCGCGGCCATCAGGTCGGCGCGGGGGGGGGGGGATTATTAACAGTTTTTAAAGCAAACTTGGCCTGTAAACAGTTGTCCATCCCGGTGTCCCGCGCCCGCTTTGAGCCAAGCGTCTTTGAACTCGGACACTTTCCTACGGTTCTGTGTGCACTCGTCTACCGCCCCCCTCGTTCTAAGGACTTCATAAATGAATTCTCTGACTTTTTGGCTGATATCACACAGAGATACACTCACTTTTTGCTTATTGGTGACTTTAATTTGCATGTGTGTTGTCAGGAGAAGCCCTTAGTGAAGGACTTTCTAGATTTATTGGACTCTTTTGGCTTAGCTCAGCAGGTGAACGGTCCCACCCAGGAACACGGTCACACGCTGGACCTCGTTTTAACACGCGATGTCTCTGTTTCTAATTTGAAAATCGGTGACGATGTTTTTTCAGATCACATGCCTGTATTGTTTGACTTCACCCCCCTTGTCATACTGCTAAGACGTGCGTTCCTGCACGTATGCGTTCCATTAACCGTTTCACTGCTGCTCGTTTTAATGAAGGTTTTAATTCTGAGAGGATCGAACAGTTCCCAGTGTCTCTTACCACTGAGGAGATAACCTCTCAGTTCAACTCTGCCTGTTTAGATGTTCTGGACCGTGTTGCTCCCCTTAAAACCAGAAAAACGAAACTTAAATCAGAGCCTTGGCTGAATGACGTCACGCGAGCCGTTAGGCGGCAGTGTCGCGGAGCTGAACGAAGGTGGAGGAAGGACAGGCTGCAGGTTTCTTTTCAAATGTTAAGGGAGAGTTGGCGTCACTATCAGAAAACCGTTAAAGCTGCCAAATGTAAATTCTTCTCTGATTTAATTGTCTCCAACTCCCACAACCCCCGAGTTCTTTTCTCCACCCTGAACTCAGTTCTACACCTCAGGGAGCCTTCACCTCTGGAAGCCTCAACTGAGCTGTGTGAAACTTCCTCCATTTCTTTTTAGAAAAAGTGGCAAACACCCGGGCACTCATTTCTCCACCAGCTCATGATCTGTCCATCCCATCTCAGTGTGTGGCTGTGTTTGACCACTTTGAGCCCATCTCTCTGTCTTCTCTGGAGCAGATAATGTGCAGCATGAAGCCATCTGGTTCCCCATTTGATGTGGTCCCCCCTCGACTACTAAAGGAAGTTTTTCCTACCCTGGGTCCTTTTATTCTCGCTATTCTGAATAGCAGTTTATCCTCAGGTGTGGTGCCAAAAACTTTTAAACATGCTGCTGTCGAGCCCCTCCTGAAAATACCTAACCTTGACCCCTCAGTCATGTCCAACTTCCAGCCTGTCTCCAGACTCCCATTCACCTCTAAACTACTGGAAAAAATTGTTGAGTCTCAGTTGAAACAGTTTTTGGGGGATCACGCTATCCTAGAGTTATTCCAATCTGGCTTCAAATCTCTCCATAGCACTGAAACTGCTCTACTGAAGGTTTTTAATGACATTTTCATATCCACAGACGCAGGTGATTCTGTGCTGCTTGTCCTATTGGACCTTACATCTGCTTTTGACACCATCGACCACAAGATCCTCATTTCTAGACTGGAGCAGTGGGTGGGCATCACAGGGTCAGCCCTTAAATGGTTTGGGTCCTACCTCTCTGACAGAACCTTCTGTGTCAATATCAAAGATTTTAGTTTGGCATCGACAGCGCTCCAGTGGGGTGTACCACAGGGGTCCATCCTCGGTCCCCTTCTCTTTTCTTTATACCTGCTGCCACTAGGTGCTATCTTCCGCAAACACAACATACCCTTTCATTTCTACGCCGATGATTGCCAAATTTACTTCCCCCTGAGGCACAGAGGCACACGCTCTATTCAGCCTCTTCTTGACTGCCTGGCTGACATCCGGGACTGGATGGCTTTAAACTTCTTAAGCTTCAATGAGAAGAAGTCTGAAGTCATGCTGTTCCATCCCAGTGGCTCACTCATGAACCATGACATTGACCTTTTCTCTCTAGCCCCGCTAGAGAAACAAAAGGTCACTAATCTGGGGGTGATAATGGACCCGTCCTTAAAACTCAACAGTCACGTAAACATGATGGTCAAATCCTGTTTTTTTCAGCTGAGACGGCTGTCTAAGCTGAAGCCTATACTCTCCAAAAGGAACCTCGAGACAGTGATCCATGCCTTCATAACATCTAGGCTTGATTACTGCAATTCACTTCTGTTTGGAATCAGTCAGTCCTCCATTGCTCATCTACAACTGGTCCAAAATGCTGCAGCCCGATTTTTAACTGGTACAGGCTATAGAGAGCACATCACGCCAGTTTTGGCCTCCCTGCACTGGCTACCCATTCACCTTCGGATCCAATTCAAAATTCTCATGTATGTTTTTAAATCACTGAACAGTTCCGCCCCATCCTATCTCACTGATCTTCTGCAGCCATATGTCCCACCGCGCTCTCTGAGGTCAGCAGACCAGATGCTTCTCTCAGTCCCAGAAACCCGTCGTAAGCTCAGAGGTGACAGGGCTTTCTCTGTTGCAGGTCCACGACTGTGGAATGAGTTGCCACTGAGTGTCCGGCAGGCTCCCACACTCTCAGTCTTTAAGTCTCACTTGAAGACCCAGCTCGACCTTCATATTCAACAGGCACATCACTTTCTAGGCTCGCCACCACAGAGCGATGCTCCACTGCGATCTATTATTGTGAAGTTCCTCAGTTTTAAAACAAAACAACACCTGCTTCGCAAGGCATGGCAGAAAATAGGATTTACCTGGAATGGCAAGCAAGTGAATTTAGATAATGACTTCCCCCCCTCTGATCTTAAAAAAAAAAAAAAAAGTTTGTGCAGATTCTGAAAGGGCTGCAGATCCCTTTTTAGACCCTCTTTCCTGCTAGGTTGAGTGTGAAGTATGCAGATGAAACAAAGATCTACAACATGGTGATGGAAGCCACTGAAGACATGTCCAGTTGAGGCTATGCTGTGAAGGCTGTCAAATCACCAGAAACTGCCCTGGAACAACTGAAGCAGCTGACCTGGAGCAAGGTGGGGAGAGGAGCGGGGAGCAGTGCGGCGAAAAAGGTGGGACCCTGAAGCCGGCTACAGAGAAAAACTCAGTCTTCAAGAGGACATCACTTACACGCTCAAGAAAATGAAGTTTACCCACTTTTATGCTAATTAGGTCCGAGCAGTGAAGCGCGTGCTGTGAAGGCCTATTGTAATCGCTCAGTTCATTAGGCCCGAGCAGTTTTTCCGTCAAATGAATTGGCCTTTTGGGAGCCTTAACATATCCCAAAACTCACCAAATTTCGCAGACGCATCAGGGCTGATGAAAAATTACGTATTTTAAGGGCGTCGCAAAAATCCCAACAGAAACGGCTCAAGAGCGCCATCTAGAAATTTTCAAAATACCCTCCGCATTAACCTTAGTTTGTCCTAGAATCATGAAATTTGGTACACTTGGCCAATTCCCCAAGATGCACAGAAAACCCTCTGGCACCAACATTGTACGATAAACAGGAAGGTGGCCAATTTGGAATGCCGTCCCAAATTTCACACCTTTATAGCGGTTTACAGCCTCCGCATTTGAACAAACTCCTCCTAGGAATTTAGCTCAATCGGTTTCAAACTTGGCCATTTTGGTTAAAAGGCATTGGGGACGAAAAGTTATCTAAACGTTGCGTTTCGGAGCATGCTGAAGGGGCGGGGCCAGACCTCAAAGTTTGACATCTCGCCATGAAAAACGAAAAGCTAAGAGTTCCTACACAAAAACTGTCTGAGACATCAAACCTTCAGTGATTGATCCACATCCGATCCCCTGCAAGATTAAATTGTCAAATCATGACATCACTTAAGCCACGCCCCCTGAGAACAGCAAGTGTAAAGTTTTACATTGAATGGTCCCTATCTGACCCCTATGATCTAATCAGGATGATAACGTGCCCAGTGACCAAAGACATGTTGGTGTAACTTGCTTTCCAACACTGACATTTTTGGGTGGAGCATGTGGGTGGCACGATGTGGCGAAGTAAGACGTAACGCCATCGCCATACGGTTGGCTCTAAATTGCACAGATTTGAGCTGAGGTGCACCAAAATCAGTTGGATCGATCATTATTCACCCCTTGAACAGGAATTTATGATAAGTGGTCAATAGCCTCCACAGCGCCCCCTAGAATATTTTAAAACTTAAGTCCGTAGCCAATTTATGACCGATAATTCTGAAACTCTGTGAACATCTGTATCTTCTCAGGACCTATGAAAAAGTCTCTCGGAGCCATGGTCCACACTCAACAGGAAGTTGGCCGTTTTGGGTGAAATGGTCATTTTTGGGCGTTTCTAATTGCGATTTTTAATGAACTCCTCCTAGGGATTTTGAATGATTGCCTTCAAACTGCGTTAATATGCCCTTAAAACTGTGGGGAGTAAAAATTATCAAAAGCTTGCGTTTTCGTATATGTTAAAGGGGCGTGGCCAGGTCCTCCAAATGCATGTAAACAATAAATTCTTCCATGTCAGCGTGGCTCTTTTCGTCTAATTAACATACGAAAAAACCTATGTTTCTCCCCACCGTGTCAGTGTAAATAGGGCCAGAGTGTGATGAAAGAGAATGCCTCACAGTGGACACCACTGAAGAGGAAACGGCAGAAAGAATGTGAAAGTGGTAGCTATGTTCAGTACATTAAGTAATGAAAATTCTCTGACATTAAGTTCATTTTAAGTTCCAACTTTTAAAGCAACAAAATAAAAGATGCCAAGAGAAGTTAATAGTTTTGCAACCACTGTATCACTTGAAAAATAAAACTAACAAAATAACTACATTTTATTATTGAATGTAAAGAACGTGAAGCAGTTAATGATTTTAATGTTTTCCTTCTTGCTCCTAAAGGAGGCGTATATCTCTACTACTTTGATCACCGGGCCTCTAACTTAGCTTGGCCAGAGTGGATGGGTGTGATCCATGGCTACGAAATTGAGTTTGTTTTTGGACTGCCGCTGGAGAGAAGATTGAATTACACCTCAGAGGAAGAGAGGCTGAGTCGACGCATGATGAAATACTGGGCCAACTTTGCACGGACAGGGTAAGGCATCAGAAACTGAGACCACCCTATTCTAACTCAAGCACAGCACCCTGTTGGACAAATCAGTCAGACTGTTTGTTTGAGGAACCTGAAGTGAGAGTGATTCACTCTGGTGACACTAATAAAGCCCCTTATCCACAGGGCCTTTTGGGGCTCCTATGTAACCAGTTCAGGCTGATTGCGTAGTTTCTCCACAGTGCCTTCTGCGACGGAACCCGCACGATTTTTAGGACCTGCTTCTCTGGGGTCCCAGGTCTGGTTCTTGTTGGGTCCAGCTGTGACGTCGGTGCACTGTCGGTCACTGATTGGTCAGGTGGAGGAGTCACTGGATCTTTCAGAAACTTTTCAAAACACACCGATCCGTCATTTGCAATTTCTCGGACCCGGAGTAGCGGCTGGACCTATTTTAAAGATTTTAAAAACAATAATGACAACACCGTAGTCTAATGCTGAAGGGCTGGCGGGGTTTTTTTTGTGCTTGCTGGCCGACGACAAAATTCAGAGCAAGCTAGATGGAGCTCCGTCGGTCTACCCGGGTCCTCTCCACCAGAGCGTCAGAGCCAGGCAAGGCGTCATCTCCTCGAGCTAAAAGTTATCTGTGGAAGTAAGTAAAAAGCTATATTTACCGTTAAGTTTTTTTTAGTTGAAAACTATGCGTAAATGGTGAAAGTCTGTTTTCTTTGAGAGCCAAGTAGTAGAGAAGCTAGCTGGCCGTAGTTAGCATGTAGCTTTGTGTAGCTTCTCATCACAATGTACTACCGGTAGATATCGTCGGGATATGAATTTTATGTCATATCAAACATCCCAGTAAAATGTTAGATACAGTAGGAATGTGGACAGACCGACCAGCCGACAAAAAAAATAAAATAAAACGCGACTACGGCCGTGTTCTGTTCAGCCAGCTTACATCGTCAGATCGCCATATGAGTAGTGCAAACTGACAGCTGCATCTATCCGCTGTGATATCACCGTACGCTTCTATTTAATTAGCCATATCATACCATGACATAGCAGTTAACATGTCAGATCTTCATACTTTGTTATTAACAGCTGTATGACGCCCTGACGCCTCAATCCGCCCTAAATAACAGCTGTATGACACCCTGACGCCTCAATCTGCCCTGAATAACAGCTGTATGACAACCTGAGTTAGCAGTTAACCTGTCAGATCATCATATACTTTGTTTTTAACAGCTGTATTACACCCCAACGCCTCAGTCCGCCATAACTTAGCAGTTTAACAGCTGTATGACACCCTGACTTAGCAGTTTAACAGCTGTATGACACCCTGAATTAAGAGTTAAGGCAGCGGAATGATTATATTGTCCTTATATTGTTTAAATTAAATTCACAAAGCTCGGACTAACTTCGCTTGCACTGTTCACACATAAACAGAGTTTTCGCTCCACCCGAAGTCCCGCACATATTACACGCAAAGCGTCACCAAAACGATTTACTTACGGTTCAGGAAATGCATTGCACACTGTAAATTGTTTAAATACACAATAATACCATGTGTACTTTGCACCAAAACAATTTACTGACTTACTTTTTGTATCTTGCAGTGTAGGATGATCAGACGGCTCCTCTGAATGTCACAGGCTTATTGCAAAATGTGCATGCAAGTGCATGCGTATTAACTAAATGTATGATACTATAACATGTATGCTGAATGGACAGAACACCGGCAAAAAAAACTGACGTAATTAACGTGTAGCTTCGTGTAGCTTCTCATCACAATAGACAGTATCGCCAGGATATGAATTTTATGCTATATAGCACATCCTGACTGTGTATCTAACATTTGACTGTTCTTACAGTTCGTAAACACCAGCAGATGTCCACAATAGTGAAACATACGATCATCAATACTAACGAAATAGGCCTGTATTTACGTGTAATGTGTATCATTTCAGGTTAATCAGTCAGTTCTTGTCTGAAGCTCCTATAAAGCCATGGGTGTCCTTGGAGAAGGACGGGACAGTAATGTTAACTAAAAAAGTTAAGTCTGGTCCTCAGGACATTCAAAAAAACAAAACAAAGCAAAACAAACAAAAAAAATGTTGAAACATTTCGTCTTTCATCCAAAAGACTTCTTCAGTCTGAGGTGCTGTATTCAGCTCAATCTCTTAAATAGCACCTTCTCAGAGTGGATCAACCAGTTTGCTGCTGACAATCAAAACCATTTGCTCACATGATCAAGAAGGACCATCAGCCTAACGATGGATCATTAGCACCCTGATGGCTGTTTGCTATTCACAGGGGGCTGAGTGACACTAGCAATAACAGCATTGTAAGAGGGGGACAGTTGAACCCGGAGGCCTCCACACCTGTTTAATGAACAACGATTTCTTTTCACAAAGATGGCCTCCTTTACTCCTCTCTCAAACCATCGTTCCTCTCTTTCCAGGATGTGAACATCTTCATCCCTGAACGAGTGACCGCTGGCCTGGAGATGAGTGTAGACCGCAGAATCCTGGCTTGAAGGTGTTGTTCTTCTGTGCTGGGTCATCCTTTTGGCCAGTGGCTGTTTAGTTTCCCTGTTGTAAGACTGATCACAGCCCTCTTGACACTGAACAGCGTATACAATATTACTCTGTTTGTGTCGGGGGACTGGATCTTTGGGATGAACCAGTCTTTGCCGTAATGTATTTTGAGGTTTAAAAGCCACTGGGACGCTGTGTTTAGAAAATAAACGGCTCCGTTTCTCTGATACTCCCGCAACATATGGAATGACCACTGGTCTGGGTTCCTCCTTTTCACCTGATGGCTGACTGGAGTCCTGTTTGGGTTTCTTCTCTGCTTTCAGGAAGGCCCAGTTAGGATATCCACATTGCTCTAGAGCCTGTCTTGTGTGGGATTTCTCCTTCTGCCTGGCTCCTGAATTAGTGGGGATGCTGTCTGCTCTGTGGTACAGAGTCCTGATGACTCCTAACTTGTGCTCCAAAGGGTGATTGGAGTCAAACTGCAAATACTGGTCTGTGTGGGTGGGTTTGCGGTACACCTCAGTTTGCAAAAGTCCTCTATCAGAAACTGAGACCTCACAGTCCAAGAAAGCCAACCTGACATTTTTTACATCTTCTCGTGTGAACTTGATGTATTTATCCACAGAGCTGATGTGGTCAGTAAAATGTTGGACTTCCTGAGATTTAATTTTAACCCAGGTGTCGTCAACATACCTGAACCAATGACTTGGTGGTGCTCCTCAGACTGAAGAAGTCTTTTGGATGAAAGACAAAACATTTTGACATTTTTTTGTCACATTAATGTGTGGCCACTGCACTTTAAAGCAAGTATGTCATGACACAAACATTCAAAACTTGAAAATGACAGATAAAAACAAAGGATAATGATGTTTATAGGAGATTATAACAATGAATGTTTTGTTATTTGTAAGATGGGGATGTGAAAACAGCCAGCCAGACATATGAAGCCATCCATCGCTGGACCGCAGCATCAGGATCTGAGAGTTTTTGCCTCCAGACTACACATAAACTGCAGCGGACCATACCTCGGATCTTCTCTGGACGCTCTGCTCTCCTGCACCTGCTGTGGCAAAGGTGTTTGGAAAATAAAATGCCCACATTGTGCCAAAGATGCTGGAGTCCTCTGTGCCTCAGTTAAGAAACATTTCTGAACTGACAACACAAACAGGTCCTATGAACTAAGCAGAGGTCACACAGGTACACCAGGTAAAAGCTCAGTTGTTTCTGAAAAAGCAGGAGTACTGTGACTTCATGGTGTGGTCTGGGTCAGATTACTTTATTCAGAGGATTGTGTCTGATGGTGATTTCTTAACTGAAGCAGTGAAAAATGTAGAAATGTTCTATAGTCAACATTTTTACCTGAGCTATTTGCCATATTTTATTTTCAATTATTGTTACATGTTTTGGAGCAGCCAAACTAACACAGGATTAAAGCACATGGTTAAGATTCCAGTGATGATATTTCATACATAACTGCAGATTTAGCAATGCAGTTTTCTGTTTCTACAAATAACACCAGTCTTTTATTTTTTTGTATATGTATGTTTTTATGTATGTGTATGTATGTCTGTATGTATGTATGTATATGCATGTATGTATGTATGTATATATATATATATATGTGTGTGTGTGTGTGTGTGTATATGTGTGTATGTATATATGTATGTATGTATATGTGTATATGTCTGTATGTATGTACAGGTCCTTCTCAAAAAAATAGCATATTGTTATAAAGGTCATTATTTTCCATAATGTAATGATAAAAATGAAACTTTCATATATTTCAGATTCATTGCACACCAACTGAAATATTTCAGGTCTCTAATTGTTTTAATGCTGATGATTATAGCATACAGCTCATGAAATCCCAAAATGCCTGTCCCAAAAAATTAGCATATTTCATCCCACCAATGAAAGACAAGTGTTTTTAATACAAAAAACGCCAACCTTCAAATAATCATGTTCAGTTATGCACTCAATACTTGGTCGGGAATCCTTTTGCATGAATGACTGCTTCAATGCGGCGTGGCATGGAGGCAATCAGCCTGTGGCACTGCTGAGGTGTTATGGAGGCCCAGGATGCTTCGATAGCAGCCTTAAGCTCATCCAGAGTGTTGGGTCTTGCGTCTCTCAACTTTCTCTTCACAATATCCTACAGGTTCTCTATGGGGTTCAGGTGAGGAGAGTTGGCAGGCCAATTGAGCACAGTAATACCATGGTCAGTAAACCATTTACCAGTGGTTTTGGCACTGTGAGCAGGTGCCAGGTCGTGCTGAAAAATGAAATTTTCATCTCCATAAAGCTTTTCAGCAGATGGAAGCATGAAGTGCTCCAAAATCTCCTGATAGCTAGCTGCTTTGACCCTGCGCTTGATAAAACACAGTGGACCAACACCAGCAGCTGACATGGCACCCAAGACCATCACTGACTGTGGGTGCTTCACACTGGACTTCTGGCATTTTGGCATTTCCTTCTCCCCAGTCTTCCTCCAGACTCTGGCACCTTGATTTCCGA